AAAAAGGAGGAAATTCCCCCTTGAAAAACTTGACTGTGGGCTGAGGTTTTGGGCAGGAGTCAGAGATGATGGCGGTCCTGAGGGGAAAGAGGAAGGGCAACCGTCGTCTGCATGTCCTCCTCCTCCTCGGGGGGGGGAAGCTGCCCAGTCCCTGGGTGCCCCCCCAGGTGTGTTTTAAGGACAGGCAGGCATTTAGGGAGGCCACCCTAGGCACGCTGAGGGAGAAAGGGAGCCTTTCCTCAGAGGAGGACACTCAGGTGGGGGGGGGAAGGAAGGCCCATGTTGGTTGTTGTTCTTGTTTGGGAGAGTGTTGAGCAGCCCCTCCTGAAGGGCCACCAGGACCCCCCCCCCTTACAGGCCACCTCTGGTTCCTAAGCAGGGAAGGGGGGCTGGACAGGGCGACAGGACCCTTCAAAGCCCCCCCCCCAAGGGATACAAACATACATCCTGAAAAGGACAAGAAAGAAACCTAGTTAAGATTTGTCTGGTTATGAAGGAAACCAACCCCTGAGTAAACATAGTCCAGACCTGTGAAATAAAAAAGTAATAATCTCATTGAAAGTATCTTTAATCAAACAACATTATTATACTGAGCAGAAATGAAGAATCAAGGATTCAACCCTCCAACCCTCCAGTAGTTTTTTCACCTACTGAAAAAAAACCCAGGAATATTAGAATGGTTCAAACACTAGACATTCTGCACGGACCACATACTGTAATCTTTTAGCCTGTTACTGCAACATAACGAAATGTATTAAGCTTCGACATTTGTTCAAGACTTACAATATTTGCAAAGAAAAATGGTGACAAGATCATACTGGCCTGTTCTGCCCTTCACAGCATGCTCATCCTGACATCTGCACAGTGGATTTCATAATGTCTGTACAGGAAGAACCCGTATCTAGCTCCTATCCATTATATAAAGCACACCAGTAAAGTCAGGGGACTCTAGGCTGAAAAGTTCTAACACAAACATCAGCCGGGATAAGATGAATTTTGGGAGCAGCATAATCTAATGTGAGTCTGATGCTGATCTGAACATAGAATTTGGATGACTGTGCAGGACTAAAGTAACCCATTTTAATCACTTGTTACCCAGTTATTATGGAATCACACACACATTCTCATTCAGAGAATGAGGAGGAGAGTGCGTCACATGAAATTCCCTAATCCTATCTCTTACTTAATTTGGTAAAAGAGAGCAGGCCGGGTAGGTGGGACTCGTCAGCCCTGGAAGGCAGCCCATCTAGGAGAAGGAAAACTCCAAATTTTAACCTCCACTGCCTTGTGGCTATATCCACTTATGGAAAGGGCTTCAGGAGATAACCTCGAGGCAAAATCCGGAGCCGGAGTCCCGGAGGCATTTTCTTTCACTCTGCCAACTCCTGCGACGTTGCTGGAACCAGTTGTATTGGCTCTTGCCTTTCCACTGGACCATTTCAGCGATGTGGAGAGGGGGGATTTGCTGCTTGGGTAACAGCCTATCCTCCATACTATTTTACCCAGGCTTCGTGCTCTGGAGAGGACACTCCAGCTTCGCATACAGCGTCGAAACAACACGGGAAGTAGCAGTTACCGGTTATAAGTCTCTGCTCAATTGGCGTAGAGCAGGACGCCAGGGGCTACTTCTGA